TATGTTTGTCTATATACAATCTTTTATCATTTCTTACATCGGTCATGTCAGCTCTACCGTTTGCATGAAACATTCTCATTATGTAAGAATTCAAAGAGCATCACAAGAATAAAATAAGATAATAATTAGCCAAGGCAAGTATATTCGATAATTGTATCTCTCTTCTTTTTTTTTCAAAGTACAATATCTCGAAGATGCACGGAAAACACTAGCAATAACAAATAACAAAAAAGGACAGTAATAGAAAAAAACATACATATAGAGAAAGAGAAAAAAAAGAAGCGCAAGAAAAATTGATCACACGTCACATGACGAAGTCCAGCGTCAGCAGAGCGGATCACCGGTACAGCGCAGCAAGAAAAAGAAAAACGAACACAAACAATTCAACCATTGAACAGAGATATAGACGAACATGAAATGCATCTCAAACACAAAGGAAAAGAAAACAAACAAACAGAAATGCATAACTTTTTTTTTTCTTTCAAATAACAGTAGAAGAAAACCAATCAGGAAACACTAGCATTACGCATGAGAGGTTTATGTGCGAGTGCTTCAGTTAACGGTTGTTGACTGTTTATACCTGTGTGTGCTTTCGTCCAACATTTGTCACAGAAATACTTCCAACAGGCGAGTGACCGACAGAAATATTTGCCTAATTGAGTACATGATTGACCGTTGGCTCCGCTGCAAGTTTGAGCATCAACCAAATAGGGATCAAGTTGAATCTAAGAGAGATAGAGGTAAAATGGAAATTTGAGAATATCAGATTTCATCTTCTCTTTCCATAAAGCTAGAACTCGATTGACTTACTACTTTAGAGAATCTCTCACAATCAATAAACACATAGTTTGCCTAGAATAAGAGAAAAAAGAACTGTTGAATAATCAGTTCTTTTCTTGCATAGTATACGCTTACCGTCATAGCACTAAAATAGCTATGGATACTTGTAAAGATCACTCGGCCCGAACCTGTATAGACATTTAAATCGAATTTCAATGCAAGGCAAATACGAATGAAAAATGGGATTACCAATCGGATATTTATTTCGATCAGTATCAATAGCCGCAAAATCAACTTCACCAAATAGTTTCGAAAAAATTCGAGCAAGTGCATATGCGGTCATCATACCTGAAATGAGAACTTTCTTTTTAGTTTACGTTGACGCATACGCAGTGGATTACCATGCAAAGCTCCAACAAAGACAGTCGTCTTATATGGATCGTCTTTGAGTAGGTCACACATAGCTGCATCATGTCGATTCGATGACATCCATTGTGCATCTTCCGTCTGTAAAGAAAGAACGATTAGGGTTGCTTGCCGTCAAATTCTATCGAAATACTTACAAACCATGGAATGAGTTGGATCTAGAATGAAAAATGTTTATCTTAATTATCATCGTTGCCCTTTACTAGATGAACTTACACTTTTACGTTTCGAAGCTGATCGTTGACTATTAAGATTAAGATAATATTCACAACGACCATCCGAATTACGTTGTGGCTGTTGACAGCAAGCTAAAAGTAATTCATGTACAGACGATTCTTTATCAAATATTGCATAAGCATAACCGGATTTGCCTAAACAGAAAGATTCAACGTACGGATATATGAGATATTACAGAAGAATCTACCGTGATTAGTTCGACGACGAGTACGGTTATTTTCAGCTGGCCATTCGATACGAACAGAGCCGAATTGACTAAGACGAGTAGCTAATTCACCTGATGGAATCAAAAAAGTATTTACACATGAGAAAAAGCTTGCGAACATTCATCGCTTACGTTCATTAAGATCATGCGGAATGCCACCGAGAAAAATTTTATTCGAAAGTGAAGGAGGATTAATTGAGTAAGCACGTGGTTTAACAGGTAACGGCGCACACCAGCACATATTCTGACTGACTTTTCCGAAATGACCTAAACATGTCTATTAAAGAAAAACTATGTGTACATCTTGGAAAGTCTTACGGGTAGCTTGACGACGTTCATTTGCCGCCGCTATTTTCAATCGATTATCATCGTTATCAATTGTAAGACATTGCTGAAAAGAAAAAGTTTGATCGATCGTATCAGTTGAAAAATCAGAAATAACAAACCATTTGTTCGATTAATGATGTTGGAGGTGGGAGATTCTGATGTCTTTCTTGTAAATATCGATCTTCTTCGTACTGATCATCATCAGCAGCATATCGGGCGGTAAAATCTTTACTCATTAAAAATTGAAGTAATTTTTCATCCGAACGCATACTAAACAAACGAAATTTCTCGTTTCCACACGAAAGATTCGGGTATTTTCATACTTGACAAGAGGAGTTGGTGTAAAATTCATGTGTGGCATGGACCATTGCGGTAAATTATTTGTTCCATTCATCATTAGCATTGATCGTTGTTGATGATGTTCATAATCTGTCGAATTCGGTAATGCATCATCGAGTAAATTACCTAATGCAAGAGATGTATTAAAGGGACGATCAATTGATGGATAATTCCCTCCCATGGTAAAAGCCTAATGAAGAACGTAATAGGAAAATTTCATCATAAAAACTAATCCTGTACTTACATTTTCTTTTGAGATCATTGTAGTTGTTAGTTTACACACTCACACACACACACACACAAATAGGTTAAAAGTTAAAAGAAAAGGAGAAAGATCGACTACTAATCACGTCGTCGACAAGCAGTGCTAAATAAATAGTGAGACAAGAGAGAGAGAAAGATATGGACACGTTTTCTCTCGTCCATTTCGTAGCTGATATTCTGACTGGACAGACATTAATAACGAAAAAGAGAGTATAGTAGACACTACTACTGTACATTGTTGCACCGTCTGCATATGCAGAGTCGTCTATTATCATGATAGACAAACCCTGGATTTGCAACAGAACGGAAAAAGAAAATGGTAGAATAGTACGGGACGAAGTACTAGACAGCCGACGAGAAAAATTGATTTGAAAAAGAATGGGAAATGCGTATGAGAAAAAAAAAGGATTTTATATCGTCTGATTAATCTGTATGTTGAATTACCAATCACGTGTTTCAACCAGGGAAATATTGGAAAACAGATGGTCATTCTGGTTCAAATAGACATTTTATATTTGAAAAAAAAAACCTCTTATTTTCAGTTGTACTGAAAACACAGTCTTTCCATATTGTAAATACGTGCAAACATATATTTCTGGATGTATATGTCGAAGTACATTAGTATATGATGTTTTTGTACTTGTTATTTGGGTACTGACCGATCAAGGATAAATAAACAGAATTTGAGCTGTGATATCAAAAGATACAAATCCGTGTAATTTCAGATGTGCTTCGTATTCATTACATTCAACTTTGCTTTGGATAAAAATCAAACCGAGAATTTTTATCTTCTCTCATAGTGAAACTTTATTAATTTAATCGTAATTACGTCTAAAAACTACTATCCCATCTTGCATTCCAAAAGTGAATATAGAGCTATCTTGTTTGATTCGGCTTCGTTTTGGAAAATAAAGATAAAATTGCATCTGCAGCAAGAAATGGTGTTATGAGACCGCGAACAACGCGTTGTTCATACGAATGAATAGCTGATTGAATTTCCTCGTCGGCTAAGAATTGATCTAGCATTCGATCTTTAACGTTATTCCACATCCATTTTCGAAGTTGATTAGCACGTTTATCCATAAATTCACCGGAATCTTTCATCGCATTTTCAAAAGCAAACATTTGCGACCAAGCTTTATCGATGCCTTCATTTGTACGAGCAGAGACGGATAAAACCTTTTGAAAATAATCATAATGAAATCGAAAACACGATGGAGATGCTTACTTTCGGTGTCCAATTGCTGGATCGGCGTCGCATCAATCGAAGAGCACTGGACCATTCCGTTTTCAAACGACGGACTTCCTGCATCAGTTCCCCATCCGCCTTTGTGATTATGATCAGATCAACTAGTTCCATAATTCCCTTTTTCATGCCTAAACACACTTAAACTGTAAACAAAACATATAACATTGAGTTTACCTTGCAGCTCATCACCCGAGCCAGGTGGTAGTAACACACAAAACATATCTACCATATCCACGACAGCAAATTCAGATTGACCAACACCTACAAAGAAGAGACTGTTTTTTGTAAAACAGAAAGTAAAGATGAAGTTTTCAATCTTACCGACAGTTTCTACAAGTATACTGTTATAACCCGCAGCTTCACACAGAACGATTGCATCGTTAGTAGTACGAGTTACGCCACCTAATGTGCCAGCAGATGGTGATGTTCGGATATATGCATTGGGTTCGCGTGACAATTCCAACATTCGTGTTTTATCACCAAGAATCGATCCTAAATTTTCTAATAGAAAATATTGAATTCAAAGAATTCGTTACCTCCAGTTGTAGACGATGATGGATCAACTGTTAATACGGCAACTTTATGCCCTTGGCTTATCAGATGCCGACCGAACACGTTGATAAACGTCGATTTGCCTACATAAATTTAAACTAATCCTCTCGTTAAACGATTGAAAAAGAAGCGAATAATTTTCGAGTCATATCTTGAAAATGAGACAAAAATTAAGTTTTACCATTTACCAGCACCAGGGCTACCGGACAATCCTAAACAATGACACAAATGTCGCTTCTTCTTGAACAACAATTATTTTCTCATTTCAAACCTATTCGAAAACTGATTGGTACATTTCCTTGTTTCTCTTGTCGTTGTTTCAATCCTTGTAGAACTTGACTTAACAATTCCTTCGCTTTATGTTGCTTTTCTGCATGTGTCGATTCTACTAAAGTGATACTTCTGGCTAGGCAACCTCGATCGCCATTGACAAGTCCTCTATACAGCTCAGAAATATCAGTTGATGCATATCGTCGTAGAATGATACTCGGAAAACGTTGAGCAAGCATAATGTAAACTTTCGATCTGAAAGCATATCAAGGATGATCGCTTTTATGAAAAGGAAATCAAAATGAACAGTACAAAAGAAAAGACAAAGAAAGGAAAGTTCATGTTCAATAACTAATATATTTCGCCTTTACGACCACGAAATCGTGCACGCATATCGATCTAAACGAAAACATATGAAAACTAATTATTGAATGAATTATTGACATTACCATTGATCGTTTGCATTCGAAGAATGTATAAGATAAACGTCGACATTCTTCTGGAACAAATTCTCGTAATTTTTCGTTAGATAAACATTCTTTCGGTGTGTGTCCGAGCTTTGAACAAACAAAGAACATTTTGTTAACATTTTCACCAAAATTCTCCTACTTTACAGCAGTCACTCGCTAATAAACACATTTTCAAATCATATCGAAGTAAATCGCATGCAGCATGCGGCTTCTTCTGTTGTTCTTCCAAATCATAGTCAACTGGATATTCGACTTTGTGCGTCTGCAAAAAGCAAAAACAAATAGAATTAGAAATAGAAAACTGTTATGTTTTTTGTCTTTCAATTTATTTTCAACAGAAAAGCTTTACTGTTCGAACAAAAATATTAATAGACTTTTAAAAATGAAAACATCCGCATGACAAATTGAGATTATTTGTCTAAGAAAATTTTCGTGCAAGTTGATGAGGGTGAATTAGTTTCATGATCTAATTTAGCGATCGTAGTATAATGAAAGTTTTCATCCAGTAGCATCTTTAGATATTTTATACAATGACGAAGTCCAAAAAGGAAGTTTTCATCGGGTTCACTTTTAGATGATGACGGAAAGACATGGGCGAAATCCACAAGGCGCACATCAGCTTTCACCTCACTGTCTTGCGCTTTTCCCTCGTAGATTATCAATAGCGAGGAGGCAATAAAAACAAATTCAAATTGTTTGACCATGATCCGTTCAAGGTCATTTAATCGATCGAGTACTTTGTGGACTATTGCACGAATATTACGTTCGGGGGCACCGAAAAAATGCGCCAGACCATGGAGAACTTCATCTTTTGTCAACGATCGCGAGCATTTCTTATCGTGATAAATATACGAGTTATCAGATTGCTGGTAAGATTTCCAGCCGAGTAATTGAAAGCCAATTTCAGCAGCTGGTTCAAATTTTGCTATTTGTCGTTCGATTTTCTCCGGTGTTGCTTCTTGATCGTAAGTGATTCGGCCAAGTTTGATGTCAATAACACAGGGACATTGGTATGATCGAATGGCATTCTCTAATTCCAGATAAGTCATGCCACCGAATTCGTATGTTCCTAGTAATTGAGGAAGAAATGGTCGTAATGCACGAAGTTCAGAAGAGGCGTTTGCAGAGAATATATGAGTGTAGAATTTATGTTCACGTGGACCACGTGGTGGGTTAAGCAATGGTTTGAGAACATTGCCATTTGAACAACGTTGTAATAAACCAAATTTGGTCTTGGATCGTCCGTAAAAGTGTCCAGCAACTTGATGTACAAGTGGTTCGGTGCCTGGTGGCAATTGTGGTAAGGTCATCACGTCGTCCGATATCATCTGAAGAAAATGGGAGGAGGTGGAACGCACGATTAGCGATGAAGCATTTAACGAAAGCATTTCTTTCTATCGTAAGGAAAACAGAAAAACGTACTGAGGATCTCTACAAGAATATTTTGAATGAGAATAATTGCCATGCTTGTATTACTTCAAGTTGGATTGGCTAATCTTATTGTCTTTCTTTTCAAAAACGAGTCCGAAAACAAAACAAAACAAACTTCAACCAGTACAACATTTATCTTCAGGAAAGACAACCTTTGATTAGTGTTAGAAATTAGTTTACAACCCATATCCGATTTCCGAGGCGGATATTAAGTTCTAATTACTGTATAAAAACACTCTTTTCTTCTGGTTAGAATTGTAAACACTTACTGATTTCGCTTCTGCCATCGCTTCTCCAGTAATGTAGTTGCTCTTCGTTTAAAAACTAATATCTATTTCTTTATATCTATAAAAACGTTAGAAGAAAATTTTAATCGTAAAATCACCGATTGCAACGAGAACGAAATAACAAAAACAAACAAACAACTAAATTATCACAATTCAACAAATCCAATTTCATTATAAGCCTGTAACAAATTCGGATCAAATGATTCCTCATTCGACGACAACTCCATACGATCATCTGGCGTTTGTACGAGATTATCCTCGGTTAATAAAAGATTTAACAAATGTTTCGTTTGTTGGCAAATTTCATTCTCTTGCTTCAGTTTTCGATCATTAAAACCGCTTAAAAACCGTCGGATTTCTTGTTGTCGAGAAGTAGATTGTTTTTGTTTCGCATTGATTTGTTCGAGAATAGCATCGGATGAATGACATCGACTTAGATGTCGACAGATCGATGCTTGACAAGTAAATGTCTTTGAACAAGATTTCATTGGACAGGGTAAACGCGAGAGATTCTCATGATGAATTCTTGAAAAGAAATCGAAAGATTCTTTTCTATCCCTTCCGTGAAAATACCTACCTGATGTGATGCTGAAGATTCCTCATATAGGAAAATATTCGTCCACAATTGTCATACTGACAAGTGAACTGTTCTTGATGAATTTTACTATGTCGATGTTGATCAAGTTGAAATAATGAACGAAACATTCGCTGACATAGATCACATTGGAATACTACAGTAAAACATGATTTTAATCAACAAAATTCACCTTTGATTTACTTTGCATTCGCTCTACACTATTCAATAATCGATTCATTGTCCATTGAACATCGAGTTCACGACGTTCATCTAAATATTAGATAAATGTGTCTTATAATGTCTGTATCATATTCATCCATTGACGGTCTTCAAAGGTGGTCACCCGACCCTCTACTAACCGTATAAAACGCGCAAAGGCCAATGGATGATCTAAATCAAATTAGAAAATAGCAACAGGTTTCTTCGCTGCACTATCCTTTTCAATCATTCATCATACCTGTATGAATAATTCGATGATGCATCAAACGCTTTATCGATAGGAAGATCTTCGAGCAGTCTATACATCTAAATCATTGGCAAGTTACGAATGGAGATCTTCGTAATATGATATACGTACTTGAATTTATCTGGAGATATTGAATTATGTTCTGTGATTAAATGTGATTCTAATGATTCAACAAATTCCGAACAGTAAAAACACTAGAAAAATAAATGTGATTGGTTTTCGGCATAAATCGCCTTTTTTCTTTACTCGAACGGGATTTGGTTTGGTTGTCGCATGGGCGATTCTAACATGTCTATCAAGGTTCTGTTTATTAGCAAACACTTTCGCGCAATCACCGATAGCACAAGTAAATCTGAATCGTTAATAAGAACGATACAAAGATATCACAAGATAGAATGACATACTTCTTTCTTCTCGTATTTGCTTTTTGATGAACATTACGATAATGACGATTCACATGATCTTGATTGGAATATGGTTTACCACATTCAGAACATTCAAAGGAGAACTACTCGACAAAAAAAAAGATAATCTTGTGATTGTCTTTCAACTAGTTATCTCGGTTACCTTTTTCTCATGATGAAAAGCGATGTGATATTGAAGTTTACTTGGTCTTGCAAATGATTTATTACATATCAAACATAGATGAGATTTAGCATCGCATTGCTTCATTGATTGTTGAATGTAAAGAGAAAAATAACATTATAGTATACAAGACAAGATTCTCTATAGATCGGTTTCGTTTACTAGATCAAATCGACCAATGAGAATCAATTGGCGCTAGTAGTACTAATTCATTTTTAAAAACATAAATAATCTGAAATTGACGAAAGAATCGAGCGATATCAGTCGAATAAAACAAAACATTGACTTACTTTTTCCAATATCAATGCTTTTCGAGTATGCTTCTCATGTTACTATATATAAACACATTTCCTTGACGGAGGTTTTGGTTATGTCAAATGGTTGACTCGTCAGAAACATCTATCCAATATTCACTACTCAAGATTTGAATAGAAAGTACACATTCATATCGATTAATAATAAACAAATATGGTTCTTGTTGAAGACGTTACATCCAATGCATCATCAAATGCAAATTCTAATAATGATAGTACATCTACTTCAACTTCTCCACCTCCGAGAAGTACAACTCAAACTCCTCCACGTTCAACACCGTCATCTCCATCGCTGATCAATGTTTTATTAGAACGAAAAACTGATGCAGTCTTATTATTATCACGTTTAGCAACAATATTCTTTACACTAATGTATATCTTACCATTTGCTCGTACAAATGCAGACGCAAATGTTTATTATACGAAAGCGTTGCTTGCCTCGGCTGTCACATCAGCCTTACGCTTACGACAACGAATTCCAGGATTTCAATTATCACGTGAATTCTTCGCTAATGTAATCCGTGAAGACAGTGCACATTATTTAATGTATTCATTTCTATTTCTGAGTGGCTCATCGATGACAATCGTGCTCATACCTATTTCAACGTACGCTATCTTGCATTCATGTTCATTTTTAGCACAAATTTTAACAAGTTATCCGTTCATTAAGTCTAAACTTGATCGCATAACAGAAAATCATGCAAATTTACTTCGTTTTGTTGCATTAAATGAAATTATTCTTATGCCATTATTGATTCTCTCGATTTTTGTTGCACGTTCAAATTTCTTATTAATCTTTATGTATTATCGATTTTTAACATTACGTTACGCATCACATCGCAATCCATACACGCGTACATTATTTTACGAACTTCGTCAAACTGTTGAGCATTTATGCAGTCGGCCCAATTGCCCACCATTTATCGCTCGACTTTGTTATAATGCTATAGCTTTCGTCAATCGTCTAGCACCAGTCGTAAATTAGAACACAAGAGCACATCAACTAAAAGAATGAAATATCGAGCGAGTCAGATTATAGAAACAATATCAAATCACTAAGCAAAATGAACGAACGGGCGAACATTGTATCCTTCAATTTTCTCTTTGATCGATGTTAACTGTTGTTCTTGTTATAGTTCTTTTTCTCTTTTTGTTAGTGTCATGAATATTTACATTACTCCTGCTTTCAACGTTTTCCTATCAGCAGATTTTGTCAGTTTCTTCTTCTCTATTCTAGATAATGTGATGCTCGTGCTTGCCACTGGTTATCACTGAATGGCCGCTATCACTCGCGCGTCTTTTACCGACGACGATTCGATTGGCGAACATTCACCTTTAGAAATGGTTCGCATGGATGCATCGAAAGGCAAACTTTCACTTACTCAACATGATCCCGACGATCATATCATGTTGGATGATTCAGGTGGAACATTAGGTGGAAGTGGCTATACTCAAAATGATTTTCTGTTAAATTCAAGTACGGGTCTCATTGAAGGAATCAATCGTGAATACGAAATTCCAAATCTATTCACGTATAAAAAGGTAAAATGATCATTCGTTTGTTCTATTCAACAAAAATCGTTGTTTGTTTTTGTGTAGATTGAAGCATTGCTCGAAACAATGCAAGATGAAAATTCTGGTCTGCCGATAAAATCTGTTAAAAGTTTTATGTCGAAGATTCCGAGTGTATTCACCGGTGGTGATTTAATTCAATGGATTTTAAAAACACTCGATGTTGATGATACAGGTATGAACATATCCACGACTTGTTAGGGAAGAAAAACAAGCTAGACATTACCATTTTAGCTGAAGCACTTCATCTCGCTAATCTGATGTCATCTTATGGCTATGTAAGACTCTTATCGACTTTTTTTCCCTAAATTAAAACTCATCTTTCTCCATCATAGATTTTACCCATCGAGGATCATGTTTTGACGATAAAAAATGATGGAACATTCTATCGTTTTCAGGTATATCTGACGTTCTCTCTTCGGTTCTTGAATGAGAAAATAAACCAATGTGTTCTTTTTCAGACACCATACTTTTGGCCATCGAATCACGGCGAACCCGATAACATTGATTACGGTAATACTCATTCGTCTTTTGATAATTGTTGATTTCCTTACCTATCATTTCTTTTCTGCATAATTAGAAACGACTGAGTTAATTGAAACGAGGTAGAATATTTTGCTGCTAAAACTAATCCCTAACATTCACTATTAACTCATTTTCTCTGTTTCGCTCTCGTTTCTCATCTGATTAGCTCTGCTACACATCGCTGTTCTTTTTTTCTTCTTAGCTGTTTATTTGTGTAAACGAACAATGCAAAATAAGACTCGCTTGGAATTAGCTGATTACGAAGCGGAAAACTTGGCTCGATTACAGAAACTTTTTGCCAGAAAATGGGAATTTATTTACATGCAAGCTGAAGCACAAATCAAGTAAGAGATTGTTTTCCGTGTACTGAATACTCTCTACGGCATGTCTGTAATTAGAGTGGATAAAAAACGTGATAAAGTCGAACGAAATGTTCTCGATTCGCAAGAACGAGCTTTTTGGGATGTTTATCGTCCTGCACCTGGTTGTTTCAACATGAGCGAGCAAGATATCAAAAAATTAATGCGACGTAAAGCACCGGTTCTCTCGTCACATGCATTATCAAGTAATCTAAGGAAAACATCGTCGACATCTGCATCGAACACTGGACCCGCATCAGCCTTAGCATTCGCTGCCAACAAGAACCTTATGACAATGACTGTCGGATTATTGTCGGCAGGACCTCCATCAGCAAATCAAGATCCATACTCGTCATTGAATCGAATAGGAATGTTGCGTGAATGCGATGAAACTGCACTGATTGAGCAGTTATGTCATGAAATCGAATTCCTCAAACATCGTCTGGACCGAAGATGTTTGAAAACGTCGAAAGTCTGCGAAAGTTATGTGTCTTATTTCGAACAGTATGCAGAATTTGATCCATTCCTAACACCTTGCGAGCCATCCAATCCTTGTAAGTACTCCTTTTTCATCTCTTATTCATTGATAAGACGAATGTATTTTTATAACCTTATAATTAAAATTCTCCTGACTTTTTCTTATCAAAAAAAAAACATTTCTCGTACGAATACTCCAGAAATGCGATCAGACTCACGTAACATGATCTTTGAGTTACGTCAATCATTAGTTACACTGAAAAGTTTTCATTTACAGAAAATCAATTTCTATTGTAGGGATAACTGATTCAACTGACTTGTGGGAATTGGAAAAGATGGGCAATGCAAAAGAGCTTTCGTCACGGCGTGTTAAACGATGGGGATTCTCAATCAACGAATTACTGAAAGATCCAATCGGTCGCGATCATTTCTGGAGATTTCTTGACAAAGAATATTCCAGTGAAAATTTAAGATTCTATGAAGCCTGTATCCAGCTTCGATGTCATACACCACAGCAAGATGTTCATAATCGAGTGCATGAAATTTATAACGAATTTCTCTCCCCAGGTAGATTGAAATCTTTTGCATGAACGGAGTTTAATTTCGTCTTAAGGTGCTTATTATTCGATTAATATTGATCAACGTGTGATGAATCTAACGAAAAATAATATGACACATTCTCCTAGCCGTTACACATTCGATGAAGCTCAGGTTTGCTTTTAAATCTTATGAAGATTTTCCTTGAAATTTGTCTGTCTAATGTTTTTATAGGATCATATTTTCAACCTAATGAATCGTGATACATACGCTCGATTCTTACGATCCGAAGCTTATAAAGAATTACTCTTAGGTGGAAAGAAAAAGGTAAGTCATGAATTCGACGTGAGAAAAAAGACTTGATTTAATTCTCATTCTTCCAACTAAAAAACTTCAATGCATTCCAATCATACTCTCTACGTTGTTTTTCCACATGCCTTTTATTGACAACTATGCATAAGACTGCACACACATACATACAACCATATCAAAACTAAAAGAATGGTTGTACTGATGGTAGTAATAGTTATGTGAATATCATCTCAAAGTTCCCCTCTCCCTTTTCTACTTCTATTCATTCTCAACATCATCATCATCTTCTTCTTCTTTGTTTGTTGTCGTTGTTGTTTTGTTTTTAGTTATCCAAAAAATATTAATGTAAAAAAAAACACATTGCGCGCAGATATCAGTAATAAACTATTCACGATTATATCCACATATATATATATACATATACACATATATTTACTCTCTATCTCTCATTCATTTTACTCTGCCTGCATCAACCTTGTTTTTCTTTCCTATTGGCACATTCTTACACTAGATCATTTAATTTTTCGCATAAATGAAATCATTTCATAAATAATAAACTAACCATGTTTGTTTGTATGATGTCTTCAACCTTTAATTATCTCTCTCATTATTACACATATCTAGTCTATTCATTTGCTTGAATGATAAATTACTGCTTGATTTGATTTTTTCATACAATTGATCGTTTTCCTATTGCCTCTTGTCCTATTGTCTGCTTTCCTTATTTCAATTATTTACTTTATCTTTATCTAGTTATCACTTATATTTAAACATTTTCATTTTCACGACAAAACAGAACGATTCTAATCTTGTTCTTTTTTTAGCCACCATCATTAAAATCGGGCCGACTTTCCATTGTCGTACGAACTCCATTAGAAACTCTGTCGATGGGTGGTAGTAGCAGTATTAGCGGAATCAATGAAAGACATTTATTAAGTGGCGGCTCCCGTTAAGAAAAAAATTCAAAGTTTTCTTTTATCAAAATCTAGTCACAAATCCATTATGTTTTCTATATTTTATGTATTTGTACGTGTGTGTGTAATTTGCTCTTATCGCATATCTCCTACCTGTGTATATTCATTAGTTGATTGTCATACGTTTTAGTTCATCATTGATAAAGAATATATTCTTGCATAGTGATATGCAAGATCGATGATCCAGCTGCTCGTTCTGTTCGATTATGACACAATTTCATACACCGGATGAAGCTGTGTGCGAAAAGGCTTGTTTCACGCCTAATCAGCATCACATCAATTTTCAACGAAAAGACAAACGCAGAAGAAAATCTATGCGATTGTCAATGTATTTATCAGAATATTCGGATAGTAGTGAATGAGAAAAAATCTGCTCACTAGTAGAACAAATTTCCCAACAGCACGCAGCTTGCACTATGTATGGTCATCACTTAAATGTGAATCAAAACGATTAGATATTCCTTTTCTCTCACTCAATTATCCGTTGATAACGAAAAGTGTGTAATCACTTTCTCCCTTTCTCTCTCTCTCTCTCTCTCTCTTTCTTCTCCTTCATTGATATTGATAAACGAGAGGAAAAAAGAAGTCATTTCCAGGAAGATTAACAAACTGATTACTTGAATATCTTCATACAAGCAAAGACAAAATGTTATTTCAAACAAGCACACCGAAAAAACGAACTTTAACGCCATTACCTCGTTCATCAACACCCAAGACTTGCTCTAATCTTATCAAAAATAATTATCAACCAGATATTGTCGGTGACAAATCATATCGACCAATGATCAAACTCGATTCACTTCTCTACCGACCTAAAGCCGAATCGCATCATCATCATCATCATCGACAACATCACAAACAATCATGGGACATTTAGAAACTCGATGATTCATCTTTTATTTTTGTTCGATTGTATTTTAGAACAGATCTCCTTAATAAATTTCTCTTCACGCATATTAACACCTTTATATATACCGTATAATTAATTACTGTCTGCTCAATGTTTTGTCTTTATTTGAACGTATCGGATACGGCACGTGTCCTTGTTTTGCTTTACAATTCACACCTTTCATTCAAATATGACATCATAAAACCAGAATAAAACCTTATCTTTAGTAGATTTTCAATAAAATAATTCGATTCTTTGGATGAAAGTCGTGGTCAAAGAGATGAGAAAATCATTCAAGTACTTTCAGTTGAGTTCAATATCATAATTAATTTCTTTATTTGTTTTATTTTCATTTTTATCCTATCTGCCACCGTTTAACAATTACTTGTGAATGTTTACTCGATAAGGAAGTCAATTTGCTCTTTCTTTCTTCTCTCCAATTAGTGTTCACATAGACAATATGAGCATTGTTTTTGCTCTCTTTATAAATACACACTCACTTCTCTTTTCAATATATTATCATAACATTAAACAAGAAAATGACAAACGACGGATCTTCATTACTTCCAAGTCTTGATTCATTTCAAATTCATATACCATTAACATCAACACCTAAACGAATGAGCAAATCATCGAATTGTCAGCCATTATCTTCAACTTTATCAAAGTCAAACATATCCTATAAACAATTCGAATTATCCATTTCAGCAATTACATCAAATCAAAAGTCGCCAGCAGTAACATACGAAAAACAAACTCGGATACATCATCATCGACGAAGTCACGTTCATCCATCAACAATTATCAAACGTATTGAATTGAAATATTTATTATATTCGTCAAGAGCAATGAAACACAACAAACAACGACAATACCTCGATGCGGATATGAAAATTTATGTTGTATAGACATTTTTCGAGCACGAGGAATTTTTATTTATTAAATTTCGTTTTGTTCTTGTCGAATAGAGTGTATGCAAATATTTTCGTAATAAACCATTTCATTCTGCAAACAAAATACTGTATTGTCTGGTATGGATATACTATTTTTGATCCACTTCGTCATTAGTTTTGATAGATCGCATTTCACTCGACGGTCTTATCTAAAAAGCTTAGTTTGATCAATGTATCATATTTTTTTGTTTCAAAAGCAAAAAGAATCGATCTTATAAGCTAGTGCTTAGTATATATAAGTGAAATACGAAGTAAAAAACGCATTGGTTTTTCTTCACAAAAGCAAAGTTTTCTTGACAAGTAATGATGAATATGATTTCAAGTTTCCTCGCATTGCTTTTATTCGTTAACATCAGCATTCTAAACGCTGCCGATAAAAGTGAGACTAGTTCTTTGAAAAACTTGCTCTTTTCTCCATGACAAATCTAGTTCTGATGGATAAAATCTGCGGTAGTGATGCCATTGTTCTCGATGGTAACATTAAGCCTGGTTTAACATTTCAATTGTCCAATATCAATAAGTTTCAACCAAATTTCAGTTGTTCAATCAAATTTCGTACAGCTCAGCCAACACAACGATTGGTGATTGTCGTTGAACAAATGAATATTGCTGATTGTCCAGGTGATACATTGCAGATTCTTGATGGTTCGACATTGCTCAATAAAGATGTTAAACAACAGTGTGGTGCACCTGCAACATTTACATTCACCGTATGATATTCAGTATGAACTATTATTAAGTTCAATATAATGTTTTAGACCGCAAATACATTAGCAACGTTTACGTTCAAAACTGGTAAAACAACGAAAACAGCCAGTTTTCAAGTTGCTATTGCCCTTCATTTTACTAGTAAAACATCTGTGATAAAGTTTGATTCATCAATCGATCTGTTTTTGTTTGCTTTTCTAGCCATTCCTGGATGTCCTCAAAGTCTGAACGTTTTTCTCTGCAAAAACAAAAACTGTATTTCGAAATCACTTGCATGCAATAAACACAATCATTGTGGTGATAATACTGACGAATTGAATTGCAGTATCATCGGCAAAAAATAAGAATATAACAAACATCTTTAATTAATTATAAAAAATAACTGACATATTATATTTAAAAACGAAAAAAATAAACAAATAAAGATGTAAAACAGCTTTCTATAACAATAGAAGATATTATTCCGATCACTAATGTTGCTCACCAACATCGATTAACAAATGTGTATAAAGATGATAGAGTGTCGTGTTTAGTAATTTATATATTACATTATTAACACCGTCGGAATCGATTCGATTATTAGCTGTACGCAGGACTTTCATCCGAGCTGGATTCAATTTCTGATGACTATGCTTTAACATCTTATATCGTGCAATAGCTGCCGGTGGTCGATCAAGTATTAGTTTCTTTTTAACGATACGTTTGTGCATATCATCATCTTCACCACCCCAGCCCCAATAATTCGTTGAATAACCATTGACCAATAGATAATGCTCACGACGCATTGCTAGAAAATAAGAAATAGTACACATAGTCTTGAAATTGAAGAAAAAAATGTGAAATATGGAAACAAATTCTTTACATTTTCTTTCTTGAAAAAGAGAATAAGTTTCATTTTTGCTGAATTAACTGTATGTCTATTTCTGTTCGAATAATTATAGTGCTATTCATATTCATTTTTAGATATGAAAGTAAAGCAATTCACATTAATTACCTAGAACACCACCTACTAATTCGGGATATGGTAAGTAGAATTGAAATTTATCAACAGCAACACTCAAATGACGTGGATTTGTTGGACATGAATACATATTTCGATCGTCGATTAGCAATAAATCAACATCATGCATTATAAAACATCGTGTATTCGGTTCTAATTTGAGAATTTCTTTGAAACATCCATTCATAACAATACCTTTATTAAAGGTCTTATCGTATGCTTGTTCACAAACGAATATTCGATAATCTAATTGTTGTCGTTGTAAGAATATGTGTGTATGAAACAGAAATTGTTCTAAAATTTCCCAACGATTACGATACGGCACAATGATAGCTACTTTGTGACGTGCTAAACATGTTTTTGGCTGATGTCGTCCACCCAACTGCACTTGAAAGTGATATGAAGATTCATTGAAAAGAGAAAAATTTTTCGGTAATCCTTTTATGATCAAAGGTCCCTCTAAATCGGGCGGTATTGACGGACAGAGTACATTCGTTGAATTGTGTTGATGCATTGTTGAAATGAACTTTTCATTAAAAGAATCTAACATTTTTTTGAACGCTGCTTGAAAAATAATAGATTGATTATTAGGAATTTTCATTACTTTGGTCGTTTGTGATGAATCTTCCGGTTTGACAGTTGTCGATAATTTCTGTTTATCATGTTCGCCGTCTACGTGTGTAGTAGGATGACGTAGAATATACATAATATTTAAAAAGCTGGTAATTATCATTAAAATAGAGCTTAACAGACATAATTTGTAGAGGTAATTTTGTTGGTGAAACACAATCATTGACTGCTAGATATGAAAGAAACAAATAACTAGTTTCTGAAGAGATCAGAAATAATATTCAGGTAAAGAAAAATTCTACGATAGTATTCGAATTCAATGTTGTCAAAGTTTACCTAATTCTCATCGGAGGCAGCGGACGAAATTTACTTCGACATACGAAGAACGAATTGAAGGACATTGACGTGTATTTCAATAGTGATAAGAAGACTTTATGATTCATTTCAACGACAGATATTAAACAGTAGATATTCTATTTACAAAGTGTACACAATGCAACTCACTATTCTCCTATCTCTCGAAGTTTCTTCTTCCCACGTTCTAAATATGCAGCACCGTTAGCTTTCATTTCTCTTACTTCAAGATAAGAAGCTTATCAAGTTTGTAAAGAACTACCAAAGAAAAACTAGCAATGACAGTGTTACTATTACAGATAGTTCAAGATAAAAAAATAGAGATGGAGTCCTTTCTGTCTAGTAGATAATTGTAGCACGAATAAGTAAAAATGAGATGCGTTCTTATATGTAAAGATAAAATAACAGTCCAGTGACGTGCGATGCGTGTAAGACATAACGATAAAAAGAAGAAAAGCAATAGATTCGGTTTTTATCTTAATGCGTTGTTTGTCAGCTTATTCGAATTAATACTTTTCGCCGACTCTTTTTATTTAAAGTAATAAAATAATTCAAAAGACGTAGACTTTTTCCGTTGATAAGATATGACATGTTCGTATGATTAATCCTTCAACATTAAAGTACCTAAGTAACTTATTCGTCAGTGTTGCTACAAATCAGCTGTTAATATTTTGTGATGAGTAAGATGTACAAATGTAGTGATTAACATTTAGACATAAAATTTCATACATACTTGATTGGTTTTGTTGATTTGTTAATCGACTTAATTCACTATACGAGTTTCAAAGTAAATAATAAACAAAAATGAAAAGTTATTGGTAAGATTTTGTCGAATAGTTATAGTCATGGTTCAATGAAAACAGAATTAATCAAGCGGAACTAGGAAAAGAACAGACATACTTAGTTACTCGGTGTCCTATTTAACATCTTACATCGTGACAAGACGTTTCCAAAGCAAAATATCGGTATTAAGGTCAAGTTTTAACGTAATCCTTACTAGCTGTTTCAGGTATTTCATCATGTAATAATCAGAAACTTAAATAGTGGCCTGTGTAGCAATATTAAAGTGACGTATAACGCCATGCTAAAACTATACACTTATCGCTGTATGAAACTCTAGCTAATCAACAAAATTCAATGCCCATCGAAACAGAAGATGACGATTTTGATGGAATACAATGAAGTAGACGAAACTTCGTTAATTCTCTTACTAGTCAATTAACAAAGATGTTTGTTAGACTCAAATGAAAGTAAATAAAAGGTTTGTGAAGGTTATTTAAGAGTGATGATATTATAACAAGCTAAAAATGAGGTTTATTTCAACAATTGAAATAGTATCTTTTAGTTGTTTCATGTGTTATAAATGTTATTTATTCAAAATCAGTTCAAAAACTTATTATTTTAATAAATTGAAATCGTTTTGGTAAACTTCTTTTTTATTTGCAACTCTTATAAGAAAATAAAACAAGTTATCGTGTTTTCAACATCTATTCTCCAACAGGCGATGCGAATCATTTCGAATAAATCTTAAATATGCAATTCTTCACAAGATGATGAAATCAATGAGCAGACTGTGTTTGTAGCATCATAGGCTTACCGAACAGAAGCCGTATGATCTTTGACTAATGTCATGATCAGAGTATATAATTAATTTATTTCATAAAGCAAGTGTTACAGTGAACAATTATCAAAATTCACATACGGTCACCATTGTTTAAATGGTTCATCAGAAATTATACATAAAATATTAGATACTCTTTAACTTTAGATATTTACTCATTGTTAGCTCAAACTATAGGAACATCAGCGAAAGAGAGAAGAATCGAGAAAAAGCGACCTTCGTAGGACACGAACTCACACCTTCTGCTATCCGGACAGATGTCCTAATCCACTTAGACTAGAAGGACCATCTCAATCTCCAGCCTAGCGTTGTGTAATTCATCACAAACGCTAACACTTATAGAGAAGTTGTCTAACGACAAGCAAGTAGTACAAATAGTCGACAAAAACAAAATAAATTCCTAAATCATTTTGGTCACTGGACTTTTTATGAATTATCAATGCTAATTTTTGGTTACAAACAGTATTAAAATATGGAAATCAATGATTCTATCGTATCATTGAAGATATGCAAAATACCAGTGCTATCGTTTGTCATTGTTGTATTGGTCTACTATTCTTTCTTTTCACAATATCAAATCATCTAGTGTAAAGTTTTTCAAAACTATAGAAATGTACTCACCTGCAGCTTTAAACAACAATGCTAATGCCGTACGTATAGAAGACAGAACTTATGATGTAAATTGAAAAGTGATTTGCAAATTATAGTTTCTTCTCTCTCATTATATCAGCATAACGAAAATGATATATCATATCAGGATTTCCATGATCGTTAAAATAAACGGAGAGAACAGCGATGCTTCTTTTAGTAACTATATTAACTCGTATTTTCTTTGCAAGAGATCGCGCTCGTTGTGATCGCGATCAGTGTCATCTGAAGAACACATTTGTAAAGATGCAGTTTTCAAAACATATTTGTAATTCAACGGCTATAAGTATCATATAGTTATCGTGTGATCAAATGTTTGAATACGAATCGTCGATTTGACACTTAGGCTACACTAAATTGCACAATAGTTATAGCATTAGAAATTGAAAAGAAATAAATGATTAGACAAAACTTATGGTGTGCTATTTGAACTTGCTTTTTGAATCTTAATAGTGTAGTATACAAACATGTTTCTAAAAAGGTGTAATACTCTGCTATGAGATCATTTCAATATACTTCTGACGCATCAGTTTTATCTATTTTGTCGACGCTCATGACAGAAAAAAGACTTTTTAAAAATAGCTCGATAATTTATTGACTCGTTAATCATATACAAAATCAAGGCAAACATAGGTTAAAAAATATGTTAAAAAATAAAAGTTATTCTAAATAAAAGTGAAATATCGTTTGTTCCTGATAGATCTCACCAGGACGGAGAATTGTACCCGGAAATCGAGGCTAAAATGAAAATAATCAGTTTGCAGCTAGTTTCAAGATAAAATTTACTTGATTATTAACACTATCAGTAAAGTTTTGAGCTTCTAAACACAAACCACTATATTTATGATATGAGACATCGTCGCGTCCTTTGTTGTTATCAAGATATGTTCCAGTGTAGAATTGAAGACCTTTCTGTGTCGACTGAACACTGATTGCTCGGCCACTTTCTCGATGAACAAGTCTAAAACGGAATGCATTTGAAGGGTTTCTCAGTTATAAAGGATTTACTTTCCAAACGATCGCTTTCCATCTCCATCAACAATATACATAACATTATACGCATAGGGAATTTCATTAATGTGATCACCAATACGTGCCAATACTCGAAAGTCATTTGGAGTATCCACAACAGATGCAATTTCGCCTATAATCTCTGCTTAGTATCTCATAATCATCTCGTAATAAAAAGTAACAAACCAGTAGGAATATGCTCAGCATCGAGCGGAGTATAACGATCGGCTGCTACCATCAATTCGTGATCAAGTATTGTTCCATTTGCCTTGAAAGAAAAGAAAACACATCGTTTCTTCTCAGTTTATCTCGAAAGATTCATATATCTGTCGATGTTTTCATTGTCCAGTCAATGGTTATAATAAAAGTAGACAAGGATCATCTGTTACTTAATTACCATAGACATACGCTCGTATCATTGAATCTGTCAAAGTTTGTAGTAATATTTCCAATGATTAGTAGTATCATCTCATTGAACAGCACAAAACAATTAACTTAGTGTATGTAAATATGTCCTCGGAAGATGATTTTCTATCTGTTCGGATACATACATGTCCGGCAAGATTAAAATATGTATGATTCGTCATATTAATAGGTGTTGCCTTGGTCGTTGTAGCATAAAAATCGATTATTAAACAATGCTCATACGTTAAAGTATATTTCACAGTAACATCGACTTCTCCTGGATAACCATCTTCTCCTTAAAAACAACAACGTCATACTTAGATTATCTTAGAATCAAAACTACCATCTGGACTTAGATATTTAAATACAACTGTTTCATTATTCTCTACTGAACTCTTCCATAGACGTTTGTTAAACACGCCATGTAAATGATGTTTTCCATGGTCATTTTTTTCTAACTGATATTCATGTCCATCTAACTGAAAATAGCCGTTCTTAATTCGATTGGTTACTCGACCAACAGTACAACCAAAATAACACTTATCGTCAATATAGTCTAATTGGACAAAACAACTCAGAGTTCATTCTCAATCTCAAATCTACCTTGTAAATTGTCATAGCCAAGAGTAATTTCAGCGACCTGATTATTTTTATCAATTTGTCGAATGGATTGAATCGTAGCACCATAGTCAATCAGAGCAACTTCAAAACCACCTGATGTCGAAAGAGTGTATCTAATCAACAATTCACGTTTTACTGCTATGTAATTATGATCATTCGACATACTTCATACATTCACGATTAAATTCAGTTCTACCAAATGAACTCCTTGTTATACTAACGTTTGCCATTTTGTTTTTAAAAGAAACGAAGGGAACAGGGCATATCTCTTTCTTTATCTATACAGGCGCTTCTACTTATCAACGACTACTAACGTTCTCTATCGTCTGTTTTTATTAAACCAATCAGACATTGAAAACGATGATTTATTTGTTTTGTTTATTTATTACATCTTCTCTTCTCTTCTATTGTTTTATAAGCGTATTGATCACTGATGCGGCTGATGATAATCTTAACATTAGCAATCTGTAATTTCGTTTTAGATTGTAGCTAATATTTTAATCTTTTTGTAAGTAATCATGGCATTCAAAGGAGCGTGGCACCGAGGTGATGGTGGTAATAGTGCAGGAGGTGGTTCAGGTGATCGTCGTTATGCATCATCCACAGATTCCTTTCAATCATTCGCTCTACCTCCACAAGGTGTGTCTGGCAATCAAATAGGTTTACCATCAATGAATTACCAAACAAATCCCAATTCAATGTACTCTGTTATGAATTCTGTACTGACGAATTGATAAATATATGAACGATTGTTGGAATGTGTATGTCTTTTTTTTAGGGACCATCGATGTTGTCGTCAACAAATTATTCATCTGCAACGAAAAGTCTACCGTATACTGGAACTGTATCAAATATGTATCGAGATTATGGTGTTATTGACAATGAAATTTCATTTAAATTGAAGTAATGCTACTATTTTGCATGATCTTCTTTTTCATGAAGAAAATTTCCGTTGTAGTGCGGTCTCCGGTCCTATACCACGTGTTGGTGACCATGTTGTATGTCAAATGAAACCTGCTGAAGGTTATGCTACTCAGACGCCTTACAAATACTATGGATTCGAAGTTCGAGTAGTTCCAGGACCTCCAGATAATCGGCGACCACGTAAGAGAATGTTTTCATTTCAAACATCTTTCATTTTCGTTCGATCAATCTAGAACGCCCAACAGGAAGTAACAGTTCACAACCAATGTCACGCAATTCTGATTCCTATATTAATCGTAACCCAAATCGCAACCAATCATCGAATATGAAACGACCATTGCCTTCAAATAATAATAATAATACTCATAGCAACAATAATAATAACAACACCAATGCTGACCATCATCGTCAGTATAACAACAATAACCGTGATCGACATGGACCTGTGAATAATGGTTCAAACGCTAATGATCGTCGTCGTTCAGATTCCACGAGACGTAGCCGATCGCGTACGAACAAAGCTATCACACCAAAACGAGCTTCGCGAGCACCACTACCAAAATATACCTGTACATTACCAAAAGCATCACTCGACTGGTAAATATCAACTGACATTAGTTTTTCTTCGAAATACTTATTTCGTTCTTTAGTTCCGAATTAAATGTGACACAAATTCGTTCTCATTATTCACGTTTACATATTCCATCCGATTTTTATCATGCATCTTATACATGGCATCAAACAATACCACTCGATCGTCCAATGAAATTTATTACTCCTTGTTCATTTCATGTATTTAATAAAAATGTGCCGCGTCTATCGACTGACAAAGTTTCCGTTCTCGATCCACCTGATGCCGATTATTCATGGAATGTTCGAGTATGTCGCTCGTGCTCGTTAACTTGTTGAAATTAAAACGGCAATCAATCTCTTTTAGGTTATGTTAATGTCATCACCGGATATTCAAACATTGATATCGCGTTCATGTTTAATCAACAACGATGATAGCAAAACTTCTTCAACAATAAATCCAGATGATTTAGAACATCCAACAAAACTAATCAAATTTCTTGTTGGTGTTCGTTATCAGAATGAATATTTTCCATTAGGCGGTTCATGGTCTGAATCACTTGATGGTCCCAATCCCGATACCGATCCTCAAGTGCTTATTCGCACAGCTATTCGTTGCACTCATGCACAGACTGGCATTGATCTTAGTAAATGTCTTCAATGGTACGTAATTAGTGTGTATAATTTGATATATTCTTCACAAGAATTTTTTTGCATCATATTCTATGTTATTTTCCCTCGAGGAACAATATACATAACGATAAAGAATAGTCTTTGACAAATTTCTTTTTTTCTATGTGATATATCTTATTGTTGACCATATCTGTCATTGATTCTGATCATCAAATGTGTACCTCATCCTAGGTGCCGTTACCTGGAGGTGCGCTATCATCGTCCAGAAGAAATTCACAAGGGTCGTTTGATTGAGAGTCGTGTCGAAAATATCGTCGTTTTCCTGCCGGATATTGCTGCTGCCTGTATGCCATCAAGCCTCGAATGGGAAGAAACAATATCAATGTACAAGCAAGCATGTGATGAAGAAATTGCTGAAGAACTCAATGAAGCCAATATATCTGTACATATACATTCGTTGATCTCTCTCTCTCTCTCTTTTTCTCTCTTTCATCTCCTTTTGCGTGCCTGATACGACAATTGTCATTTTGGCGACATACAAAACTAACGATGTCTATCTGTCTTTCTTCTTATTTTTCGTTCCTTTTTTTTAATCATTGAGTCAAACATTCGTATTTCACTTTTCAGGATGAACAAAGCGAGACACCCAGTGCATCTCATCATTCAGCTATAGACGTGGAAAATCTTCGTGTAAGTTTAGTCGATATTCATGACTTCGTTCCTATCAATTAGTATTTACAGGTGAGCGATCTCAAAAAAGAATTGAAAGCACGCGGACAACCTGTTACTGGAATAAAAGTGGATTTGAGAAAACGACTAACTAAAGTACTTCAACAAGAGCAAGTAAGTTTACAATTGAAACGTCTAGTTTCAGAAACATATCCATTGATAACATTTGCTAGGCCGATGAAGAAAAAGCTGCAGCTGTTGTCAGTACTGAAACTAGCGAAGAGCAAGTACAGACATCAACAACTGCACCGGAAACAACATCGAAATCGGAAAAGGTTGAAATAAAAGAGCATAACCAAGCTGATATTGATAAATTACGGAAAGATATCGAAAGCAAATATCAACTTCCTTCCCAACGTTCAATACTTGTTCATCCAACTACAGCTAAAGGTGATAAATTCGACTGTCGTGTTGTATCACTTCATTATCTTCTCAACTATGCAAATAAAGATACAATCAAGGAAAAGTGTTTCGAAGTAAAGCTCAATCTAACGAATTTGTTCCGTATTTAACACGATTGTCTCGTTTTTTCACAGCTATATCTGTTCTCTGAAGCGTTTTCTGAAATGTTAATGCGTGATTATTCTTATCATATCTATCGATCATTATACAGCTGTTTGGAAGTCACAGATACAAGCAATGAACCTCCGAACGCGAATACTGAACTAACAACAAACGAACAAGAAACGAATCATGAAGCAAAACAAGAAGAACAAGTTGAAACTATGGTAACAAGTAATGAAGATGTTCCTGTGATTGATTTGGATACAAACGCAGAAGAAAATGAAAAGAAACGAAAACGAACGCCAAGTCAAGTAAGGAAACTTCTTTCCATAAACGAAAAGATTAGTGAATATTGTTTGATCTGAAGGATGATTCATCTGAGCAACATAAGAAAGCTGCTCACGAAGAAACTAACGAAAACCATAAGACATCTACAACAACGGTTCAGACTCGACAACGTACAATTCATCCTGAACTATTGCTTGCATTTACATATTTTGATCGAAATCGTTGCGGTTACCTAACGGAGAAAGATCTGGAAGAAATTCTTCTCCTAGCAGGCTTATCTTTAACCAAAAGCGAAGTAAATTTAACAAAAGAACGAGGTTCAATTGACATTCAAACTAAATAATCTTTCCTAGGCAAAAATGTTAGTTAGTCGAACGGCGCATAATGAAAAAGTTCAATATCACAAATTAACTGATAAAGCTTTACCAACCGATGATAACAATTCAACAACTTCTATTGAAATCAATGAAACTGACATTGATCCACTTGCACCAAAAGGTAAATCTACATTCGAAATTCTCATTCGATATGAAATTCTTCGATGTTTTCTTCACAGGAAACCTACTTTCCTTGCCGTCACATGTATCTGTGTTTGGAATACGTTCAACTACAATCAATGAGACTCAATCGACGAATTCACTGGATAATCAACGTGCAATGAAACAGTTGGAAATATCAAATAAAATCCAAACAGGTCTGGAATTGAAAATTGATACATTGAAAAAGGAAATTCGTAAGTGAAACTCTCGAAATCACTTTCGCTTAAATAACAATTTTATTTAGAAAAACTAACGGATGATTTACATTCCGCACAAAAAAGTAGTCGTTCCTATAATGACCAATTATCCGATACGAAGAAACGTTTACGTGATACTCAACACGATCTTAAAGAACTCGAAGAGAAATACAAACGTTATTCGGATGCGCTGTATCGTGCTCGTGGTGAATCACGTACATTATTCGATCATATCACACATACACTCGGTATCAAGGAAAAACAACCGTCTCAAACACGAAAATCAGAAGATGATACTAAGAAAAATCTTCCTATGAAACCATCAAATGAAACCGATAAACCTAAACAAACAGAAAAACCAGTTGAAGAAGAACAGACAACGAAAATCGAAGGTAATTGAATTAACTTCCAGAAAATTACACTCAATAGTTGTTTCTTTCTTTTAGCTTTAGAAATCGTTCCACCCGAATCGACTGAATAAAACGAAATTGATTGCGACTTTGTTAGGAATTGTATTGATATATCAATTGTTTTTTTTTCTTTGTCATGATTGCAACTAATTCATTGATCTTTCTCTGTTTTTGTGTGTCAAAGTTCAAGTGGTTTTAGTTTGAGAGAACGAATATGTCTAGAGATGCGCGCGTACTGAATGTTATCGATTGATTGTGTTCAAATTCATCTGTCTATTTGTGAAATGTGTTTTTTGTCTATTATTTACAAAAAAAAAGGAAGACGGAAAGAAGTTTCTTATTCATTTTCATTTCCACATAATGTTCTTCTCTCGAACTTTAGACAAATAAAACAGAACATGTGGACAGCAGGTACAACTCAGATGATCGCACGAGTCACAGGTTCGACGTTGTTTGCGAAGTAAGACCAATGACGAACAAATAACAAACAATAAATCTTCTTTTCAGTCAGAATCTTGTATCTGTATTAACATTTGAACACCGGTCAATGGCAACAGGAAGTGATAAAACATCACTTACTGCTGATGAGATCGAAAAAAATACGAATTTGATCAATAGAATGCGGGAATTACGTGCACGAAGTCCGTATGCAAGTTTTGTGAAAGATAATTACCATGATGTTAGTGCAAAGTATCCGGGTAAACCAACACTCGACTATGAATTCGAATATGAACAATACTAAATCGTTCTAGATTTGAAATTGGCTGAAATCACCAAGAAAATCGCTGAATTGTGGAAAAATTTACCCGTTGAGAAGAAACAAGTATAAAGGAAGAAATGAAGAGAATGTTTCATCGTCATTTTTCTTTCGATAGACTTATTCGAAAAAAAGTCAAGATCAGAAAGTAGCGTATGAACAAGAAAAACAACGTTTATCACCGAGCGATTTACAAACCATCGATGCAGCTGAAAAAGCTAAGAAAATTGAACATCGTATCAAGAAAAGTATTGAGCAATTGCCAACAAAACGACCACGTGCAGCTTATGCACACTTTCTCTCCACGCTCGATCGCGGTGAAGCCACTTTAAAAGTATTTGTGTTTTTTAATAATGAATAACAAAGCACCTCTTTCGTATATAGGACTTCATGGCAGGTGCTGCTAAACGTTGGGCACAAATGAGTGTACAAGAAAAACAGGTAAAGCTGAATTGGTTCAAATATTTTCAGTGTTAAGAAATCGTTCGTTTAGCAATTCGAAGATCTTCATCAAGAAGAAAAACAAGCGTATATCAAAGCTTTAGCTGCTTGGGATGCAACACAAGCCGAAGCAACAAAGAAAAGATCGCCACGGTCATCATCATTGACTGCCACCAAACGAAAAGCTGTTCGTATTGATTCAGAAAAAGAAGTTTTTGGTTAAGCGGGCATTTGTTCTTTTGCATGTGTAAACATAGTCCAACTTGTGCTCTACTTCTGTTCAAAAGATTCAAACGTCTGTCTTATGGAAATGCTCCTAAAAAACTAGGTCTTCATTCATCTTGATACATAAAAAAAATTGTTATTTCTCGTATGAAGTTGTTGAAAAGAGTTCAGACAAGTCACACAATATTCATAGTTGATTGATGAGGACTTATTTTTAAGTTCAGTTCATGATATACGATGAGTCTGTCTATACTCTAGGGAAAAATTATTAATTACTGAAAAACTAGTAAATGATTCATTATTTAGTTAACGCTGATCTTAAATGCGACGGACTCTTCGAATTCGAATACTCAAGTTAGACTGTTTTAAAGCACGTAGAAAACTAAATATGCGCTAATTATTTTGATAATGAAGAACTAATTCGTTGAGAAAAATTGATTTCAGATGCAAATTATCCATACGAAACTATCTTTTGTATGAACTCAACAAGGAAATTTTCCCATGCGTCCTTTTTATTTTGCATTTTACTCGAAATTTGATCCGATAGGAAATTCTGTCTATAATAATTTCCCTAACAATCTCGAAATCTGTCCATTCATTGTAGACTGCAACAAAAAAGAAACGTGCAGCATCCGCAACTGGTAAACAAACCGTAAAAAAGCGCGCTAGTGGTACATCAAAAACTGCCGCTTCAATAAAGAAAACAATGAAAAGCAAAGCAACGCAAACCACAAGTGATAAAGAGGTCTCATCATCCGACGATGAATCATCGCCGAAAAAAGTGACCAAGTCAACTAGTCCGAAGAAGAAGGACTCGTAAACAAAAAATCTTTTCTTTTTATGTACATTTCTTTTTCTGCTGTTGATCAGATATCTTCTTTTTTTTCTTTCTTCTCTGATTTTCATCCTTCTCAGCATGGCACACTGTATTTTCGTGATGATTATGCTTGTCTTCTTTTTTTTTCTGATTTTCGATCATAGACTAAACAGTGTAGAACTTCATCAATTGCAATTCAATATGCCTCGCCAGATGATAAAACCATTCGTATCCAGTCCCCAGTGCTAACAGAGTTTTCATTTCAATGATTCCACACATTTTAAACATCCAAAAAATTCACACCTCTCCGCATTGATAAACTAATATGACATTAACAATTGCATTTTGCGTTCGTTTTTCAACATAATATGTCGAACATAATCAACAGTTCCTTTTCACCCAAAAATCTAGTGTTTAATCAACGAGCAATCGGTCCCATCCCTCCTCGATAATAAATATTTTTCATTGCAATTCGATGTGCATCGCCTGAACCGAACACTTATATTTACACTACATACACTTCAAAATCTTCTAGAAAATTGACAACAGACTTATCTATAATTAGCGTTTAATTTCACATAATTTCTCTCAATGACTTTTACTCTTGAAAATATTATAGGAAACAAAATGATATGGTCGTCATTCTATACGTAGATCTCTTTGCGAGACGCCTTCAATTATCTCTCTATATTCTTGAGTTTCTGGCTCGTTTTCTTTCAGTGAAATGTATTATATTTCCTGTTCTTGCTCGGTTAGAGATTCCGGGCTATATGTCAAACGTCTGCGCGCAGTAGTCTTGTTGTCTGAAATTGCGTGAGAAAGGAGAGAGGGCGAACGTGAAGTAAATGCCGTAGCGCTTTCGATGAGAACTTCGAATAGAGAGAAAAAAAAAGGAAAGAAATCAAGATCAATGATATATTTCTAATGCAAGAAATGTTCATTTCTCTTGACAAGCCGAACTAATTATGAATATGAAATTGTTTCTGTTTGCATTTCTATGATACAATTCATTTAAAAATAATAGCTATATATAGGTATAGACAAACAAACCAATAAACAGAAAAAAAAGACAATTGAAGAGAGAAAAAAGAGGAGATAGAGAAGAAAAAGAAGTTTTGAAGAAGACTTTTTTCTTTTGTTCAGAGATTACATTCAATTTATGGTTTCACACGGGTTTGTTTCGATGGTGTACTAATTGAATTCGGTGATACCAGCGGAGATTTTCCTTGAAGATGAGCGACCGGTAAACATGTTCGTTGTTGATCGATTCGACGTGATTGTAAACGATTTAGAAGAGAAAAGAAATCATCATCGGGAAGCGTTTTTGACGTTGCTTCATGAATAGGATTTTTCGACGGCGATCCTGTTGATAATGTAGTTATTGTTGATGTTGAAACAACTGACGATGCAGATGCTGGTCTGACTGAAGATGTATTATGATTATGGATCGGTATGAGTACAGCTCGTTGATCATCGAGACGCGAGTCCTAAAAAAGGGAAATGAAGACATCTTTAGAAACAGAAAGTTATAGTTTTTCTTACTTGACACTTCGATAATTGATCAAAGAATTGTTCGTTCAATGGTGAAAGACGTCGAGTTGTTTTAGTATTGCTGCTATCATGATGATTCGCAGCTGGAAGACTTGTTCGTTGATCATCGAGACGCGATTGTTGTAATCGATCAACTGTATTTAAAATATCTTCAAGTTGAACACTCGAACCTAATTTACAGAAAAGACATTTCTCGTTTTTTCCTTTCCGCTTTTCGTTATTGAAAAAAAAACGTTGTCCTCATCATTTATTCTAATTAGATGTTACATTTCCGATCTTTCTCGTCAAATGATCTCTGAGCAGGTATGTAAATATTTTCTAAATGAATACTCTCAAAATTATTTCCGTTATTCCTTGACATCGTCATTTCCTTTTGCGACATATTTGTACAACCGTGGATTTACCACGTGATTCGAAAATACGTACGTTGTGTATGAGGATTCGTTGCTCCAGGGACGCTGGCTGTTGCTCTTAAATCACAACGTTGATCTTCAAAACGTGATTTCTGCATTCGACAAACCAAATCAACTAAATCATCATGATCAGCTGGTAATGACTAGCAAAGAAAAAGCAACTTTTCGTATGAAAATTCATTAACATTATCTTTAATTATACTTCTTTTCTTGTTTGCATTGGCGATTTTCTTCCGAGATGTGACATGAAATTGGTTTTGAGACTTGTCGAATTTGTTTTGCTTTTCTTACTCTTATTTGATATAGATTTGTTATGTGACGAAGTGTTTTGTGAGCCGGTATATGAACGTACATCGGTGACACTGCTATTCACGCTAACATTTGAGCGCGATGAGCGTGGACTTTGAGATGCTGAGCCTGACGAACCATTATTCGTTCCACCGCCCTCCGATAAACTGATACTAATGGAATCGGTACGTAGATTCTAAAAGAACGTCCAACATTCGAGAATCAGATCGCCTTGATTTCGAAAAAAAAGTAACCTTCAGTGTATGTTTCGTTGGTCCTGATGCTGTTGACATGGATATTGTGTCATCTAATGGTTCATCAATCTAAATTAATCGAATATATCATATATAATTCAATGGTTTATCTTTGTTATTTTACTTCTCGTGCGAGAGCTTTGTAAAGGCTATCATATTTGGTTGCTTTTTCAAGTTGATTAATTTTTTCATGTAATTGACTTAAAATATAATAGGCTCGACATTGGCCTATTGAATCTCCTAATTGTCGCGCTAGATGCAAATGTTTCTCATGAAAATAAATCGATGTATCATAATCTTGTTTTAAACTATAAACACGACCGATAGTAAAATTCATTCGTGCAACGAACAATTCATCGTGAGTCAGTTCACCTATGCTCATCGCTTCTCTAGAAAAGAAAACAGTTACAAAACTAGTTTAGCGAGGTGAAATCGTTTTTGTTCGCACCTGTAATGTTGCAATGCTTTGTCAAAATCTTCTAAATATAAATAAGCATTGCCAAGATTACCATGAGCACGACGTTGACCGGCTTGATCGTTACATTCTTTGGCAATCGTCAAACGCTAGAATCGATCAGTCGATGGCGAAAAATGAAAAAAATGAAACAGTCCATTTACTTTGTCAAGGTACTCAATCGATGTTGAGTAATCTTGCAATAAATAATTGACATTGCCAATATTGCCTAAAGTTCTACCTTCTGCCACCTTGTCGTCTAATTCTTTATTAAGATCGAGATTTTGTCTAAATGAAGAAAAAAAAAGTAGAATTGCTAATGAATCGAGATTAATTTCCACTTTCTTTTGTTTCTGCTCTGTATCTTGATATGAAAATATTTCTATCAAGCGCACGAGATAGGAAAAACACAATGTTGTTCTAATAGAACAAGACACAGAAGATGGACAACAACAAGAAAAGATAAGACATGTTTGTCTGTCCTATGACAATACATATGCGCAATAAACAGACAAATACAACTATTAACATCTATCATATAGAAATATGAATAGGACAAGACAACTGTTTGACATGTTCTATCTGGAGAAAAGAATGCGACAGGATAATCTTGTTCGTTAACTGCTCGTTGACATTACATATTAGTCTGTGAAATGAAATGGCAAATGAATGAAATATACAACACTGATCATGGATGAAGAAAAAATCAGTAAATTAAACAAGAGTGTATTCATCACACGCTTCATGGTCCCAGTGGAATTTTCAATGTATTTTTGTCTAAATATGCGACTGTCGCGTGATGTGTTTTTGAATAGAAGGTAAACATCGAAATCGATCGAAGAAAATGACAGATAATATCATCTGTTTGCTTACTGCAAGCTGTATTCATCGTTCGATACTAATACTCACTTAATCGTCGAATGTAAGCAATTATGAAAAAGGAGGTTTTATATGCTTTTCTAGTTTTTTTATGGACGATTAATAAGGGAGGAAAAACAGAAAAAGAAATGTTCCTTTCCGTGCTACTTTTTATGTTCGAACTTACGTGAGATTGAATAAATGTAGATGTTCGTATTTATGATTAGGCGTGTAAGATAAATTTGTTATTCTCCGCATTTATATGTAAATTAAGTCGGCCGAAGAAAATGTGAACTATCTTTTAAGATCTCATTTCGTTCTCCGAAAAAGAAAATAACAATAACCAGAGTTATGAAGAAAAAACTCTAGTTATTCTTCTGTTCAAACTAATTAAATTCTTTAACAAGGAAAATAGAAAAACTATCGAGTGCATGTCTCACGAAAAATAGGCGATATGTGAGAAAAATAAGAAGGATATAGTATTCTTTTCTTTTTTTGACAGCCTCGCTTCTTTTCATTGTTTTCTTAACCTCTATTCAATCAAGTAGATGAACGAACGTTCTGTTTCCTTCTTACTCAAGAGACTATTTATATGGAAAATGTGATCTTTAGTTTGAATATAAGGTCTTGAACGCTGAAAAAATCTGATATTAACACAAAAAATCAAGTTTCGTCTATTTAAGAGATAATCACAAGTTGGTGCATGAGTGATTCTTTCTCGCTCTGAATCGACTAACGACAAAATGATGACAAGAATGATTCAATAATTTATGGTAATGTTTTTTTATCAAGCTGGTAATTTCTAATTCTCTATCAATGGTCAAATCAAACCAATCTAAGAATCAAATGAGAAGAAAATACAGTTCACTCAAACGATGTGAATACGACTGTGCATTTGCTGTGCCTTACACAAATAGATTCAACTGAGCACGCACTATACTCATCGTTTCGAGATTGAATTAAAATAAGCACATACATACATATAATTACCATGGCAGGAGAATGAACTTGCCGACATATATACGCCTACTCATCATCGAGTCTTCTTAAACTCTTAATATTGTTTCAGAAGGAAAAGAAGAAACAGATTGATACTCGAATTCTACTTTAGATTGTCTTAAACTAATACAATTATCACAGATGGATTCTTTATGTAGTGTAAACGTCGAATGTACCTTTCTATTTCTCATCAAGCAATCATAGAAAGTCATCGTGAAAAATAGTTTTCTTTTATTCTAATCTGACTTCTTTTCCTTCTTCTTCTTTTCTCCTTCTCCTGCTCCTTTTTTTTTATTTCTCTTACGCACACGAGCTCTCTCTTACTTCTCAAGAAGATAGTCTGGAGAGGAATAGAGAAAACTATATGTGTGTATATGCTGGAAGCTAAACGGAAACTGAGCAACACACTAACACATGAGCAACTAAAGAGAAAAAAAAACAAGCAAATGACAATGAATGAATGCTATGCACGCGGAAAATCAAACTGCATACGAATGACAGACAAGCAGAAAATAGAAGAGAAGCGTACGTAACTATCCATCCATCTATCATCATCATATCAATGGGCAAACGAGAAACACAGAGAGAAAGAAAAGGGGGGAAAAAAGAAGATGAATGCACGTCTGGTTTTCCGATCATGGATGAAAAAGTTTTCGGGAGTAGAATGAATAACTATGTATTCATTAACTATTCACAAAACCAGAAGAAAAGATCAAAATATTCGATTGTGAGACAATGAGAAATTAGTCTTTTTGTTTAACAAGAGAAAACAAAACTTACTCGTAATAAACAATTGCTTTGTTAAGTAATGTTCGGATATCATCACTGAGAAGACCATTTGATGAGCTGAGCAATTCTTTGGCTTTGAGATGATATGTCAAACCTAGAAAGTATAGTGCACGAGATTGATCAGCCGAATCGAGAAATATCGATTGCTGCTCATGCTGTTGTCTTGGTCGATTTTCTTTCTTCGAACCAATGGAATGATGCTTTCGACCGAATCTTTTATGTAACGTTGACATGTTTTCGATCTGAAACACGAAAATCCTACTTGACAGAACACGAATCTTAGACACATGCGATGATCGAGAGAAAAGAAATGAAAATATCGCCTTTTGTTTCTTTTCCAATGACGAACTATATTCTTTGTTCAATTCAAAAATTCTATAACCAATCATTAGATAAGATGACGTACTCCATCTACACTAAAACGAATATAGATCGATCGGTGACAACTAATGATTTTCTCTCTCTCTTTCGCTCTATCTTATTCGTTTATTTACATTGAGATACAAAAGTCAGTGTGAGAGAAAAGAATATTAACGCCGTCTTCCACTTAGCGAATTTCGATATGACAAACAAAATATATCTTTTGTTTTCTCCGACGAGTTATTAAGCTGGATTTTCTCGATAAAAGATTAGATTTCTCAATCAGCGAAGCTTTCTGATATCCTGTTTCTATTAACGATAATTCGAAAAGAAAACCAAGGTTTTCCTATTAAGTACACAGGAAATGGAAAACAGTTTGCTCGTATTTTGTTGTTGATTTCATTATAGTCTAGAATAAGCTAGATCGACTGGATAACTTCATTTTGTTTTCTCGAGTTTCGGCCGGCTTTCTTCATATACAATCGATCGATCTCAACATTACCTATCGGTGTTTTAATCGATCTATAATACAGAAGTAAAAGTCTTTTGAGAACAATAACCACGCAACAATACTGTGCTCTACAGAAGGCAAATTCCGTTTCCGATTCCGTTTGAATAGACTATTGGTTTTGACGTTTCTTTCTGCTTATAAATTTTTAAAAACATCAACGACGCACCAATTATACAAAATTATCCGACGTCACACAAGACATGATGACGTCAGCCTTATTCGTTGGATTTATCTGTTTTCTCATAGAATGAACAACATTAACATTCTTGTATATTTATCCTTTTACAGCCTGTACATGCTCGTTTGAGAGCAAGAGAGATATAAAAAGAAAGAAAGAAAAGAAAAGAGAAAACGCGATTTGACGAAAGAAAATAAATTTGTTGATTTCCAATTGACAAAAATATTCTACCGAAAAGATCAGTCTAAACATTGAAAATAGAATCATGTTTAGTTTATTTTCTACGAAATGAGCAAAGTGCAACTAACATTCTTGAATTGAATGCATAAATCTTGATGGTGATTGAGGAAAATTACGTTCACTCGTAAATGAATCTTGTCGAGATGGGACACTTAAACGTTTCATTGTGTTGAAATCATTATTGTCTTTATCATTTAAATGTAATAGTGAACTATTCGATGTTAACATTTTCTTTAAACGATTTTTCGATGAAATTGGACTGAAAGAAAATGTTCGACTGAGACGACTTTTTGCTTTGTATAAACCACTAAACAACAATGCAGAGATTCATTAAGAACAAAAGGAAAGAGAATAATTCGATTTCATACGTTCGTAATGCACTTCCCACGGAATTTAATCCACTAGTTGTTGTTGTTGCACTCATTGTTGAATGAGTTGATAGAGTATCATTATCACTCATGAAATCCATTGCTGAAAGAGGTGTAAATGCTCCATTTTCTGGTCCGACATTTTCAATTAATGACGTCTATAACAAAGTCAACGAATCGATTTTCCTCTCTTCAACTCGTTCAGCTTTACTTTATCGAGTAGACATCGTTCTTCAGCAATCGCTTTGGCTAGATGTTGAAGAACTTCTGTTTTACTTGTCTGATTGATACTTGCGACAGTCGAGAGAGATGTTAACGATGTCATCGAGTCGGTTAGATGTGAACGTGATACAGACATGTGATTATCAGCAACACGAAATATGAGTTGACGAGCCTGACCATCGATTGAACACAACATACCGAACTGTTCATTTTCTATCGGAGAAAACAATGATCGAGCGAGAGATTTCGTTTCGAAGATATTTACCATCACATGATGAGGCACCGATATCGAATAAACTTCGTATGTCGCTAAGTTGAATTAGCGCTACATGTTTGTAAGATTTCGTCGATTTAACACCTGGTGTTTTCCATGTGTTTACACGTAATTTAGTTATCTAGATAGAAATAATTCAGTGGAGGCAATGATGATGAAGATTTGATTTACTTCGATGCAATCGGAGAAAAGAAACAATGTCAAGTGCGTTCGTTTGCCAGTTAGTTCTTGTGAAAGTTCGATTAAATTGAATTTTTGTAAGTAATCTCGATGTGCTGCAAGCAGTTCGGGCTACAAGAACACGAACAAACGATGATAGAAGTCATGTTCAATGAAAACATACTGGACAATTATCAATACTATTAACGATACTGAATAATGAAAGATGTTTTTCCGTTTTTCCTCGTTCTTCATTTAATTTCTTTGCTACTTCACGTAGTTTATCGATAGTATTTGTTAATTGTTGATGATCTGTATGTGTCGTTGGTATATATTTAAGTAAACGTTCTAAAAGCAATAAAACACTTGGCAAACGCTGAATAGGTCGAATCATTAGATCAGCGAGATGTTGTTTGCCTAATTCTGATTTGTGTTCACAGATCTAGAGAGAAGAATAACATCCGATGATGAAAAAGAAGTCGCACTTTGAGATTTTTAACGATTACTTTCAAATAAGCATAGAAACGCGAATTGCTTTTTTCAAGTGAGTGAATTGCTTGAATAGTTTTATCATAGAATTTCGTATAAGGTTGATAAACACGTAAGAGTTCAGTTGCCTGAAAACATAGAAATAAAGTAATTTGACGTTTTTTTGTAAGTTCAAAGGTTACTGAAGCGCAAGTAAAACGAATTAATTAATCTCAAATGAAGACTATTATCAATAGTTATGTGAAACTTGAAAGAATGGACTTAACTTACATTAGCTAAGAAAACCGAACCAATACAGGCATCTTCATTGAGTGCTCGGTCAAGTTGTTCAGCAATGGTCAGATGTAAATGATAAATTTCTTCGATATTACCGAATATTTGTGTACTTTCAACTTTGGTTAAGATAGGTCCATTTCGACGATCATCTTTTTCCATTTCTGTTTTGAAAAACTGTAAAAGTTAAATGATAGAATTTTGTAGTTCTTAGTAGTTTCATTTTACTACTCACACGAATGATATTCGACAGCATTGTAACATAGTTTCTTTCTGTTTCTCGAATTTCCATGCTGATTAAATATTTATTATCTTTTTTCATATTCGGTGTTTTTTGTTTCTCAAAATTTTCTGTTGACATTTCATCACCAAGACCATTTTCATTCTCGTTGCTGCTATTAAATCTCTTATTGTTAGGTGTAGTATTCATTTCCATATTGGAATTCGATTCTTTTCGTCGTTTTCGTTTCACTGATGTGGTTGCATTATGCTGCTGCATATAATTCGAATCATTTATCGACGTTGACAATGGTGATAAGGTTGAGAGCGAAAGTAATGTTGATCGAGGAGAATCGGGCGTTGTTGTTTCATTCATACCAGGTAATTTGATTGAATAACTTGATTCATCGGCTTTGCCCATTAAACATAAACATTCCCAAAACCACTAGAAAACAAATATTTTGTATAGCAAAGAATAATTTCCAAAGAATATCATCATTACTTGAACATTAACCATATGTTGACGATGTTTCCGTTTGTACGAGGGAAAAGCGGTGAGAAAAGTATTGGCATCCATTCCATTGCAAAAGACGATATGTGTAGCATCGGATATTTCGTTTGTTGTATAGCCACCTAAATCGAAAGACAGATTTCTATGCGACATTTCTAGTTCTCATGAAACTAGATGTTCCTAATAAAATCCATCTTTTATATAGTACTTTTAAAGTGATCTGAATCCACTCAAACGGAATGTATAGTCTAGAAAATATTCCTAAGTACTTTGCTGTAAGATTTACACACACGTATTGTAGATTTTGCAAGCTTATAGTATCAACGGTAATGCCATGCATGTTTTCGAAGAGGCAATAGACTTAGGTGCAATTCTTACCATTAGCAAGAACAAGGGTGCGTAAGTGTCGTTGTTCTATATCATCAGCAGCACCAAAAAAGAAGAGATTCAAATTATGCAGCGGTTTAGCACGATATGTTCGAATAAAATCTGCGTTCAATGCATCAAAATTTCGATTATCTTTTTCCTTCCAACATTCCAATAGCCAATCTTCTGTTAGAATTTCGCTTCGTTCCATATTAAACGCCGTCTACGCAAAAATATCAACAATTTTACATGATGGAATGATTCAACTCTTACCAGATATTTCTCGCCTAAATTCGCAAACGATACTACATGAGTCACTTGATCGCTGTAATCTTTTCGAACTGATCCACCAAGATAATGTACAATATCACTAAACTTCGTCTAGAAAATGCCAATTCAAATAGAATTACAAGATAATGAAATGATTTACATGTATTTCACGACGAGTACCACCCACAAAACAAATCACTGCCGATGCCAAATGTTGGGAATACAATGGACGATTTCTCCGTGGTACTGGAATATCCTGAAAACAACGCGATCATATTTTCTTAAATGAAGTTATTTCAATCTTACGATTTTCTTTTCTGCACATGTTAAGACAAGCTCGGCACTAATTATGTAGATGTTTTCATCCTCTTTTAAACTATAAAACAGATTTTCATCAAACGATTGCACAACATAAATTCGCAATTGACGTTTTGTTAACAATTGTTTCGTTTCGGACAAGGTTCGAAGAACATGTTCATCATCAGTTAAACATTCATACGCATAACGATCTTCGAGTGCGGCAAGTAAACGCGTATTGGAACACGCTTTTCCAATAACGCAAAATGTGATTGCTAAAGAGAAAAAAAAGTTCAATTCATCGAAAGAGATAAATCAAGATGATTTACTCCAATCTTCTGATGATGATTCGTCATTTTGAGTTTTATGAATATCTTCCATTGGTACGAAAATCTAATTGGGATATTTAACACACAAACGACATATTCCCGCTCTCTCTCTTCTTTCATCAAGACATTCGCAGACAAAGAACAAAAACGAGCACGGGCATTGACCAATGATAAAGTATTTTAGAAATAGACAAAGCTTTACTAGTAAAAATTTCAATTAGAAAATCAATTTCTCGCTCGATACTATTCGATTTTCGACTTTTTCTTTTCAATATTTAATTTCTAAGCTTCATTCCTATTTGTCAATAATTTCATCCAATCAGCATATTGTTGTTTGAAAGTTCATATTTTCTCCTTTCAGCCATCATGGCTCATTTTGTGCTTGTGACTCGAATCGGAAATTAAACTGGGATGTTTTCTCTCGGGCCTTTGAAACTAATCTACCGTAAATTCGCGTGACTGACACCTCGTGATCCGACTACGAGCTTAAACTTTGGTTCACTGTAAGATTGAAGTTATAGTACCTTTCTTTGTTTATCAGAACGAGATGGTTTTTCTACTTCCGACTTAGAAATGATTGCAAAATATTTACAGATGTTTGTACCCGACAGCAAACGGTTCTTTGATGAATAAGCTAGGATAGAAAATTATGTTTATCATCGTGTTTGTGGACTTTGTTTCGTCAGTCATTTGCATGTTATCATGTTTGAATTTTATCAATGTGTACGATGATTACTGAATATTTATCTTGATTTTGGATAGAAAGTTTTCATTAAAGAATAGAGGATCTATTGCTAGATAGCATAAGATTGTGATTGATAAGTACCTAATTGCTTTTCGAATAGGCTAGTCGAGCCGCCATCTCAAGAACTATTCTTAGACTTCGATGAAAAGAAAAGCCCATATTCAGCATTTCACATCGATTTATTTCATAGGGAAAGAATGAGAAGTACTCAAAACTCAAACTAGAAGTGTCGTTTTTTGTATCCCGACTAATACAAATGTGATCTAATCAGATAGGACATGACGTCATGTTTTCCAATGGATTTATTTGACTAATTCAGCACACAGTCTTATCGAATGATTCAGTAGTTGGTTGCAATATGACGAGATTGGGCCTGCATTGTATTTATAGTCAGCCGAAATCTCATTTCGTTTTGTTTTTCGAGTAGTAATCGATTGATCTCAGTCATTGATTTACGTGTCTATTGCGTAGATTTTTTTCTTCTGAATTGATCAATTAATTGTGACATTGACGTCAAACGTGTCGTCGAGTTTTCTCATCTATGTAGATGAGAACAACAAATGATTATTCTCTACTCGAATTTGTCATCTAGACCTTCGTGCTTTTTTTTTCATTTGTTCTTCAGCGTCTCACGCACTTTCACATGAGAATATAGTTATCTAGCAATACATACATCGATTCTGTTTAGATGCTTTCTGGATTTGCTACTGATACGAGAGTAATCGCTACACAGTGTTCTTTTTTTCTCTCGCCCTCTTTTCTTTCTCTTTCTTTCGCTTAACATCGAAGAATCGTATGCACTCAAAGGCATATATACACTCCAAAAAAATGAAAGAATCTAAGCCTTCGACTTGATTTGCTTGTCGCATCTGTAGCGAACCGATAAGAATAATATTCTTTTTTTATTGACGAATGCTAACCTTTCTTTTTTTTCTCTACTAACCTAATTAATAGCGAAATCTCACTGGTGGGATCATAAAAAAAAAGTACGTCGTATCTTTGATCGCTCGTGATGTTATTTGAAATTTCGTCTAAAGTTTATTCTGACGTCATTTTCAAGTAACATGTTTTCTTTTTTTCCATTATACAGCTATGAAAGTCTATATACACATAAAACGATTAAATCTATGCCATTGCTTTCTTTTTTTTCGTCGACGTCGTCGAAATGTTTGCGATTTTTCTTTTCTCCGATAGCGTCGAACATATATTCAAGCCTTGAAAGATACATATGCACATACATATACGTGGGTGTGCACAAGTATTGCAAGTGCTTCGTTTTTTTCATCATATTTTTCACTTGTGACATACAATCAGTCGGTATAACTTTGCTTTTTTTTTAGATTATATTCATTCTGTCTAACTTCTGTTTGGGAGTTCTGGCGATCACGTTTTGCGATTATTCGATGAGTACAACTGTTGACGGTACATATACGCCTAACCAAGCGGTAAGAGATCGAGATCATAATTGAAATTGAATGGTTCTAATATTGATTATTTTTGCAGACCGAATACGTGCAAGACTGCACGCTCTCGGGCGAATTCTGCCGAGCGCAATATTGACTAGTACGCCAACACCATCAATCTTTTCCCTATCGATATTATCCGTATCGATACCGTTCCAACAAATTCGATTGGCGTCTTATTTCCACGAAAATTAGAGACTAAATTAGAGATTCAATAGAAAACAAACGTTTTTTCTTCACAAGGAACAAACTTTTATCAAGTATAATCATGCCTTCACATTTAATCAATCCATCGATGACAGAGCTTCGTTACAAACATTTACGTTTCTTAATCACGGACAGCCCAGCCGATGAAAATCTTCAAACATTCATTGAGGTAAGAGTCTGTCAGTAAGATGATGATCAGATCTTTACATTCATTGTTTTGTGTATATAGACTTGTTTGAAATATGATGTTACAACATTAGTTCGTGTCTCCGAAAAAACTTACGATACGAAACCAATTGAAGCAGCTGGCATTAAAGTTTACGTGTGTATCGATTTCACAGAAGAAATCAGATTTGAAAGAATATTTTCGTCTTTCAGAATCTTGAATATCCTGATGGCAGTGCCCCTGACTCAATCGTTCGTGATAAATGGTTAAATATTGTCAAAGAAAACAAACACGGTTGTATTCTCGTTCATTGTGTTCATGGGCTTGGACGGTAAGTGATTTCTTTTTATCTTTCGAACACATAAAATATTCTTGTCGATTGTTCATCTAGCTCGCCTGTTCTTGTTGCAATGGCCTTACGTGAAGCTGGAATGAGCCGACAAGAATCTATCGACTTCGTTCGCTCACGTCGTCGTGGTTCATTCAATATTCGTCAATTAGAATTTCTTCAAAATTATCAATCAGGTCATCGCCTTATCAACAAACATGCTGGCTGTCTTATTATGTAATCGTTTTCCTTTTTTTTTTTCATTCACTATTCGTTGGATCTCTCTAATCCCTTTATTTGCCCCTCATCTTATCGCCTCATTTACTCTTAATCACTCTAATAATTCTGTTTTTGCCACTTATTTACGCACGAATTACTTTAAATGAAATAAAATAACTGTTTTTTTTTTCGTTTCCTTTATGAATTTAAATCAAGCTTTTCACATCCGCTGTCTGTATCATAGAACAACCATGAGCAATCAGTTCATTAAGACGTAGATTTATATTGTTTTCATCCACACCACGGCATGCATCTTTTATAATATGAGTTTTATAACCATTTTCAAGTGCATGCAACGCGGTTGCATAAACACACACATCTGTTGCAATACCAACGATAAACACTTGTTGAACGTTATATCCTTTCAGTCGGGAGTGTAAAGTTGTTTCACGTATTTTCATGTTATCCCAAAATGCGGAGTACGAATCAATGTCACTGTCATAACCTTTGAATAGGTTGATTACTTGACGATTTTTATTTGATTTCACGATTGACAGATCTTGGTGTAGTTCAGCACCATGCGTATGCTGTACACAATGCACAGGCCAAAGGATTTGTTCCACACGAGATTGACGTTCATCATCGAATACAAATATTGCTGTATCGAATACTTTCAATTCTTCCATTGACTTTGAATCTTTTGCTAGTAGATGTGCTCGTAAAGGTAGATTATCATAGAACGAAATATGATCAGGTGTATGCCAATCTTGCGTATAAACAACGACATCAAATTTGATTTCGTCCAATAATTTATTTATTACAGGTATGACTTGTTCTCCTTGGTGTTGACTGGGACAATTCTTCAGAGCTAATGAACCATCAATGAAATCATATTGTACATCAACGATTAGTAGGGCATTGACATGCTTTGATTTTTTCTTCGGACGAATTGCATTTGGAATAGCGTCAGTTATTGCATCAACTCTGTAAAATCAAAATCAATCGATTAGTTTTCAAATTAAACAAATGTATTACGCTCTGCAAATCGCCGCGTTCACGTTACCCATAGATTTGTTTTCGTTGGCGTTCTCTTCTACACACGCTTATCACCGAAAATAACTAAAAAATATGTATGATAAATGTCCAAGTTGTGTTTCTTTTGACAAGGCAAACATTGATTCATCCTACACAAGTCGATACATACCGAAAAAGAAATAAATGCATGATAAGTAGTGTGTATGTCTAATATTAGTGAAATTATTTGCAATTGGCGATTGATAAGCATTGTAGAAGAAAAGGAAAAAGAAAGGGAAGAGGGAGAGAGAAAAAACAGCGTGATCGTCGGTCTATCGTTGAAAGTTTTTCCATGACGCAATCACCTTGAAATCATCGCTGGAAATTTTCTACTGAATTATTGAAAATAAACATTATTTATTATTGATAAACATTTTTACGACAAACATTCGTTTGAATAAATGAGAAAAATTTTGCGCTCTTCTTGTTTCTTTCTTATTTGTGATTACAGAAAAGAAATATGTCAGAAAAAGAATATTTTCAATGGAGGTTATTTTACCCATTGACGTCAGATAATATGAATATTCAATCAGAAAATGTGTCTTCCATTTCACCGTTTACACTAAATACTAAATTAAACATGTTAGCCATCATTGATGAAAAACATTCGAAACAATCATCTATTGTGGACGTGTACTATCCATTGGAAAGTATGGATATTTGCTTAAAAGTTCACTATTTGGAAAAATCCAATCCGTGTAAAATCGAAATTGAAATAAGGAATCGACAGAGAGAACAACTATTGACGTCTGTTCAACATTGGTCGATTTTTGAAATGAAATTTCCACAAGTAAATCTACCGGACAAAATCTTGACACGGCTCGATGAAATAACCAGTGAAAAAATCAGC